TTTTGTATAGTCCAGTTTCTGCATACTTATTCCTGGGTTGTGTTTTCCGCGCATGCGTGGCTCAGTGGGGCAGGGGTCTCTGTGATGAAGGTTCGCAGTCTTCTTCCATGTTCGTGGGATGACCCTGTGTTTTGCTCATGTGCTGTAAGAGGTATTTTCCTCCTCCCCCTGTTCTATCAACACTCGTTTGTCATCCTGACTCTCTGTTATTTCCAGATAAGCAGGTCTGCACTCCTGGGTCCTGACAAGATTAGGTTTATCGCTGAGTTATGCCAACTATGCATAGTTTTTACGAACAAAGTCTAGCTAGTTTATCACACTGTTCTTATACAGTGCCAGAGGGAATGACGAGATCTGTATATGAAACAAGACAAAAGGAACAGAGGTGGTTCTCCTTTTTTTAGTATTCAGATTGTGGGGATTGCTACCTTGTGTTAGTGGATATAGTTTGTAGGGAGTGTGGATATTTTAGGACAGTAAGAACACCCTAGAAAGGAACTTCTATTTTGTTCCCAATGTCAGGCTGAAAAATCCTGCAAGACAACAGAACAGGCAGTACTAAAATAGCTGACAGAACTGGTTCAAAGCCTCCCTGCTTTAAGGACTAATTGAGCCTGTAGGCAACTGAAACTGGTACTGTGTGGTGTGTGTGGTGTGTACTAGAAGTGTGTGACTGAAACGTGCAAGTAACCACAGAGTGAGTGAGAACTTAAATTTGCAGTTCTGTTATCTTGCAAAGGGCACGACCCACGACCAGACGCAGGCAAAGCAAAAGCTAGAAATGGGAAACCAGTAGGGAAAACAAGAGGTTGACAAAAACCCTTTAGGGTGCATATTAACACACTGGAAAGAAATAGGGGGACCCCTGGGTGGGAACACTAACAAGAAAACTCTAACCAAATACTGTTCTGAATGGTGGCCCCTCTATAAACTAGGGGAAGGAGGAAAGTGGTCAAAGCGTGGATCATTAGGCTATAATACCTTACTACAGTTAATGTTCTTCTTGTGAAGGGAGGGCAAATGGAATGAGGTAATTTATGCTGATATGTTCTTTGCTTTGAGACAACACCCATAATGGCAGAGAGAGTGTGGCATTAATTTGGCCTTGCAAAATCCGTTTGTTCTAACTTTAGAATGAGAGAATCTAAAAGAAGGAATTAGGGAAGCTTAAACAATGTTGTTCAGCATGTTCTATAGACCGGAGGTGTTTGAAATATAAGAACAGTGAAAATAGAAAGTGGAACTCATGATTATGTAAGTCCTTTTGGAGAAAGGGCAAATGAAATAGCAGAAATGGGGGCTTTGATCCCCTGCTCAGGGCTGGTAAAAGATGAGGACAATAAATTGTCTTCATCCTCAGGACAGCAAGAGAGGGATGGAGAAAGGGGAAGACGAAAAACTTCTCTTTCCCCATCCTTATCTCCTCTGAGCAGGCGAACATGCAGCAAGACGAGGATAAAATCTGTTTCACCACACGCAGGGGCCAGAAAAATCATACAAGTCCCTTTAAGAGAAGTTGCAGGACTACAAGGGTCTATAAGGATTAAAGTTAATTTCTCTATGGGAGATCTGGAAAATTGGAAGAATACTGCTCGTAAATATAGAGATGACCCGGTTGGGGTAGCAAAGAAGTTTAAAGCATATATTAAGGCTTTGGATACAGACTGGGATGATATCGACTTGATGCTAGATGCTTTGACAGAAACTGATAAGGAGTTAGTATTAAAAACAGCATGGGCATATGCACAAACTATGTTAAAGGCTGATGATGATTTAAATATTTTCTTTCCACAAGACAAACCACCTTGGGACTATAATAATCCCCACCTATAATGTATCTTTGAATGTTGTTGGGGCCACTGGTCAAATTGAGAATGCATCTTTTATGAAACCTTTAAGTTTTAAATTAGGTAGGCTTTAGGTATACACAAGTTCCTTTATATGCCTCACGCACCTAAATCACTTTTGGGATGGGATTTACTAGAAAAATTGAATGCAGAATTCAAGTTTTAAAATGGGGATATGCAAGTCAAAATAAGAGAAAATGAACTAATCGAAATCTGAAGTCTTGCTTTAACTCAGACACAGATATCAGGAGAAGTGCCATCATCAATCCTTGATCAAGTCTTCCCTGGGGTGTGGGTTGACGGGACCCCAGGAAGGGTTAAAAATGCTCAACCTATAGAAGTAAGGCTAAAACCCAGAACATGGCCTGTAAGAATCAAACAGTATCCTCTCAAACTAAAAGATAGAAAAGGGATTAAAGAGATAATTGACAATTTTATCAAATTTGTGTTTTTAATCGAATGTAAATCAAAATACAACACACCTATATTGCCAATCCAAAAACCGGATGGCAAAAATTATAGACTAGTTCAAGATCTCAGGGTAATTAATAAGATTGTTGAAGAGCTCCCCCCAGTGGTAGCAAACCCATATACAATTTTAACCAAACTAAAAAATGAAGCTAGATAGTTTTCTGTCCTAGGCTTAAAAGATGCCTTTTTCTGCCTGCCTTTGGACCCTAAAAGTCAAAATCTGTTCACCTTTGAGTGGGAAAATCCTGACACCGGTCGCCGATCCCAACTTACCTGGACCATATTATCTCAGGGATTCAGAAATAGTCCTACTATCTTTGGAAACCAGTTTGCATAAGATCTTGAAGAATGGACTACACCATCAGACAGTGGAGTCCTCCTGCAGTACGTGGATGATTTGTTAATTGCAACCAGGACCCAGGATCAATGTGAAAGCTGGACTATAAGCTTATTAAACTTTCTGGGGTTGAAAGGGTACAAGGTATTCAAAAGTAAAGCCCAGATTGTCAAGAGGGAAGTCACCTATTTAGGATATGAAATCTCAGGAGGACAACATTGATCAGGATCAGAGAGGAAAGAAGTCATCTATAAAATACCTTTGGCCCAGACTCAGAAGGAGTTTCACATATTTTTGGGAATGACTGGCTGGTGTAGGCTTTGGGTCTACAAATATGGACTGATAGTAAAATATCTATACCAGATTCTGCTGTAGTAAGTTGAGGAGGGCCAAGAAAATAAACTAGACACCTTTCTGATGATGGTCTATATTCAACTTTTTTTGCTTCGTCCTGTATATTACATCTTGTTCTCACCATCTGCACTCACACTCTGTCTGCAGAATCTTACATACCAAAATTATTCTTAGCTCTGTTATCTATAATTTATTACTAACCTTCACATATGATTGAATGTTCACTTCTTATTTGCATTCTGCTGGTCAGGCTCCACGGCCTTGATGCATACCCCAACAATTCTCCCTTTTTGTATTTGTGCCACAAAAATTACCTGGGTCGTTCTTTGCAGGGCCCTTTGCAAACACGACACCAAACATGGCAACATCAGTAGCACAACTACAACAATAAGCAACACAAGCAACCTTGTTTTGACTATAGACAAAAGCCATCTTGATAGTTCCCATCTACTAAACAGACTATTTAGCCAGTCCTGACCAGCATTAACTTGCAACTCTTTGATTCTTGTTTCCAATCTTTGAAGGTTAGCATGCATCAACTTACCATAGTCAAATTTATATAACATATCCTCTTACAATCTTGACACTCATAAAGTATTTTAAGTTCATACACATAGATATTTACACAGCTTTTCTCACTCATACAGCTTTTTTCAGTCACTCAAGCAAAGGTGGCCACCTCAGTCATCCTTCATTCACACATAGTTAGAATTTTTATTATATTTTGCATTTCAACCACACATCTCAGATCCCAAGTATTACTGGCTGTGTTCTTCTCAGTCTGCCATCTCCGGTGGTCATGTTCAGCAACTGCACCTGTCCTGAAGAGGAATCAATACAAGGAATATAAAGTTTAACAAACCTAAATGAGATCCTATTTCTAATCTAGCACCTGTTTATGTGCATGCATATTCTCTTCCCCCCTTTTTTGTTTTGAAAATATGTTTGATGTGCAAAATGTTCTCTTGATAATAATTTGTTCTATGAGTGAGTTAGTTTTGTTTTAGAATACCAAAAGCTAAGGAACTCAAGGGTATAATATTGGTGACTAACTTCTGCATTTTGCATCTTGTAGTAATTTGAGTTTTCTATGCAGCCTAAGAGAAACAATGTCAGGTGAACTGAAAGAAGACAAGAAAATAATATCTGTACACTTTAAATTTCCACCTGAAATGTACCTTAACGTAATGCCAGGAAGGGGGAAAAGAAAAGAAGGAAGGTGTCATTTGCAATTACAAAACCACAGCAACTAGGACCATTAGTAGATCTCCTAAATTACTCTTAACTATTCCTCATCAAGTTCCACTTCTCTGTCAACTGTGACAAATTCAGTGAACAGCACTACCAGTCACGGACATGGAAAGATCCCTTTTTTTTTTTTTTTAGTCTTCTAGTTTAGTAGCTGCAGATTCGCCAGCTTTGCCATGCTGCTGAGAAAGCTGTGCTGGTAATTTTATAACTGTTGAGCACTGCAACTCCGGGACCTCCGGGACCCTCCTCACCGCAGGTGGCAGGGTCTGATCCTGTCAGGGAGTGGTGTGCCCCGCTCTGACCCCTGGCCCGCAGAGCCCCGGTTCCACACCCACCACGAGGCCGTAGCATCACGGAATTCCATAAGTGGTTTCGCTTTCTCTCTACTCACCCTGCGCTACCTCTGCTCTGCTTTAAGTACAGTTCTGCATAGATGCTCTGCTCTGTGCTGGCACTCCACGCCACCACTGTCTCTGCACCCTGCGGATGTTGGTATCTCCGACGGCCGGAATGCAATCAACTCTTGGCTCCTGTCCATCTGCCTCTTCCAGTTGTCCCTCACCACCAACAAAAGGCTCACAAATTTTTCCTATTAACAGTTCAGTCAGTTTTAAGTGGCTATTGTGGTAGAAACAGATGAGAGAGTCAGGCAATTCCGCAGAGGGACTACATGGAACAGGGGGGGGCAAGGACAGGTTCAGCCTCAGGACCACATCCGATCCGCCCGCCGTTCCGGCACTTTCCCCGGGTTGCTCCTGGCCCCACCTGCCAAAGGCGACCGCATCCCCCCTGCCATCCCCAGAAAGCAAACCTGGACCGGCACCGACAGCAAGATGTCCCTTCAACTCTCACAACAGCAGCAAAGGTTCTAGGGAGCTCCTGCATTTGAAAGGTTTCAGACTCCACTCTCGCACAAGCTTTTGTTTCTCAATCTTAGAGTAGCAATGTTTAACTCCGTGTCTTCCATCTGTGAGTGACTGTTTTGATGAGATTATAACTTGCAAAGCAAACATATTTTTGCCTCTTGTTCAATTTAAAACATTTTTAAAGTTCAAAGAATGTTGTGGGCGGGCTTTACGGAATTCCAGAGTGAATGGTTGTCATAGTGACCGTGTTTACATTGGTTTGTCTTGTTCAACTGCTCTCCTTTGTAGCGTGGCGTGGGGGGGGAAGGGAGGGGAGGGGAGGCTCTGGGCTTCTGCTTTCCCATGTTTTCTCAGTAGCCCTCCAACTTGCCTAGCCTCTCTGTCTCGATTTGTCTTCAACACACATTGCGGAGGGGGAGGGGGGGCGGTTTTGGTGTGATCTGAGGCGGCACGGGCCTCAACTCAGCTCCACAGAGCCGTGTCGCCCTGCCCCGCCAGTCCTTGTCGCACAGTGCTGCTGCTTTGAGCTGCCCCTTCACTCTGCCCCCCCGCTCTGTGCTGCTGCAAACCCCGCTCTTTGAACTTCGCATCGCGAGTGGTCATCATCATTGTCACGCTGTCGAAGCAATGCATTTCAAGTGTTAACTATGCACTTCCATTTGGACTCTAACTGGTTCCATTACGTCCCTAAAGTTCTTGGTGGCTCACCTGCCTCAGGTGTCAAGAAAAATTGGTTCCGGACCCATTTCACTGAGCTCCGTCCTCACTGCACCTCAACCTGCAGCTTCAGTTCCTCTCCGGGAACCATTCCGATCCCTCAATGGGGATCAAACCCAATTTGGCCCCTTGTTAGGGTCTCGTTGGTCTAGTGTTGTGATCCCTCGTACATCCAGGTCACCATTTGTTGTAGTAAGTTGAGGAGGGTCAAGAAAATAAACTAGACACCTTTCTGATGATGGCCTACATTCAGCTTTTTTTGTTTCATCCTGTATATTACATCTTGTTCTCACCATCTGCACTCACACTCTGTCTGCAGAATCTTACATACCAAAACTATTCTTACCTCTGTTATCTATAATTTCTTAGTAACCTTCACATATGATTGGATGTTCACTTTTTATTTATATTCTTTCTTTGCTGGTCAGGCTCCATGGCCTTGTTGCATACCCCAACAAGATTCTACAAGATGGGATTAAACAATTAGTGTGGACTGGGGAAGCTAGGCCAACTTTCCATCAACTTAAGAGGGAACTGATGCAAGCACCTGCACTAGGCCTTCCAGGTATGACTAAACCTTTTTTGTTTTTTTCACATGAAAGGCAAGGAATTGCATTGGGAGTTCTAGCCCAACAGGTAGGACCATATCAATGAGCAGTGGCATACTTCTCTAAGCAATTAGATGAAGTAAGTAAAGGATGGTCAGGGTGTTTGAGAGCGGTAACAGTAGTAGTGCTGAACATACAAGAAGCACAAAAGTTCACAATAGGACAGAAAATGACTGTTCTCGTGTCACATGTGGTTTCAGCAGTGCTAGAACAGAAAGGGAGTCACTGGCTCTCGCCCTCCAGGTTTCTCAAATACCAAACCATCCTAGTAGAACAAGATGATGTGGAAATCATCACCACTAACATCGTCAACCCAGCAACATTTCTACCAAGTCCAATGACTACAGGGGAACCAGTACATCATAGTGATATTGAAACAATTGAGGCAACATATTCCAGCTGACCGGACTTAAAAGATACACTACTGCCTGAGGCAGAAATGTGGTTTACCGATGGAAGCAGCTATGTGAAAAATGGAACCCGCAAAGCTGGATATGCAATAACAACCACAGATCACATCATCGAAGCGCAGGCACTCCTGCTGGTACTTCTGCACAAAAAACCAGAGATAATTCCACTCACCAGAGCATTGCAATTACGAAAGGGAAAAGACATTAATATTTGGACAGGTTCCAAGTATGCCTTTGGGGTAGTTCATGCTCACGGAGCAGTGTGGAAAGAAAGAGGGCTGCTCGCATCACAAGGAAAACAGATAAAGCACGCAAAAGAAATCCTAAAGCTACTCAAAGTTGTCCAATTACCAAGAAAGTTTGACATTATGCATTGCAGAGGACATCAAAAAGGTAATACAGACCAGGAAATTGATTGGCAGATCAAGAGGCGAAAACGGCAGCAGAAAACAGCCAGGTAGGACTTGCCTCCCTAGTCCCTGATGGCAAAATCATAGAGGTAAGCTCTAATATATCATATTCAAAGGAAGATTTAAAATTAATAAATGATCAGCAAGCTCAAGTCAGAGGTAACATGTACCAGTTAAAAACAGGACAAGTAGTAATACCTGAAAGAATGCTATGGAAAGTTGTACAGGCAGAACATGACAAAACCCATTGGGGGGCAGATGCACTGCATAAATACCTAAGAAAACAAATTATAGGACGAAATTTATACACCACAATAATCCAGGTCACTAAACAGTGTAAGACTTGCCTCCATAATAATCCTCACACAACCAATAAAATAGAGATAGGGACAATTGGCAAAGGTAACCTCCCAGGGCAACACTGCCAGATAGATTTCTCGGAACTGCCTAAGAAAGAGGGCTACAGATACCTATTGGTCTTAACAGATACTTTCTCAAATTGGCCAGAGGTTTTCCCGACCAGAAGCAATAAGGCTTGAGAAGTTGTCAAGGTACTACTTAATGAAATTATCCCCAAGTTTGGAGTACCTGACATCATCATTTTGTAGCTAGTATTATACAAGAGATTAGGAGCATTCTGCAAATTGATTGGTAGTTACACACTCCATATCGACCACAGGCAAGTGGTCAGGTGGAGAAAATGAATCATTTGATAAAACAACAATTGGTAAAAATCTGTCAAGAAGTAAATCTGCATTGGTACCAAGTCTTACCTCTAGCCTTATGGTGAATAAGGGTCAAACCTAAGACTAAAGAAGGCCTAAGCCCTTTTGAAATGTTATATGCAAGAACCTATGGGAATTATTATCAAGGAGAAGACCTCATACAAGTTGGGGAAGGATTTATAGGGGAATATCTGATCTCATTGAGTAAGTAATTGTCAGAAATTAACAAACAAGTAATGAGTACTCACTCAAGGGGAATAAACCAGCCCTTACATAACATTTTCCCTGGAGAGTGGGTGTATGTTAAAACTTTTTCAGGCCAACCACTAGATGAGAAGTGGAAAGGACCATACCAAGTGCTTCTGATGACCTTCACAGCAATCAAAATCAAAGAACAACCTACCTGGATTCACTATTCATGAGTGAAGAAGTCACCTAAAGAAACATGGACATCAGAACCTGTAGGATCAACAACCCTCAAGTTTACTCGACACTAACCATTGGAACTCTGATAAGTATAATAACTCTGGCTCAAGCCATTACCTTAGACTGACCGTGGTCTCAGGTTTATATTGGATATTCTGGTATGTCTGGAAGAGACATTTCTAATTTAAACCTGGCCACTGTGGTCATGCACAAAAATGAATCATATTTAAAATATTATTGGGATGTGGGAGGAACATGATGAATGTGTGAACAATTTATATTGTGTGTGGTACTTTTATAAACTTTCATATAGTTTTATAGGTACTAAAAGTTATAGGTGTCAAGATGGCCGCAGGTGCCTTTGCTAGAACAAAAGGAAATCAGTGCCAAGAAGAAGGTGGAGTTTGATAAAGTAAATAATTGCCTTGTTACCTGTTAATAACCAATTATAAAGGTATTTGTAATGCATGTTTACATCTGGACAGTGACCTGTAACCAATTATGTGCTTCTTGTCACGAGACTTTGTATACAGATGCTATAAAAACCCTGAGCTATCCTAATAAATTGGACATATTTTAGATCTCATAGATCGTGTATGTATGTCTCAGAGCCTCCCCGTCAACAAGTGGTGCCCGAGCAGGGACACTGGGACTGCTGCCTCCTGAAGTTTAGCCAGGAAGGTCTTAAAAGCGAAATTCGCTGCCCCTCTGAAGTTTAGCCAGAGACAGTGTTAAAAGCGGCAGTGTGAAATCGGGACTTCGGGTTTGCTGTTCGGTCAGGACGTGGAAGCGAACTGGATGAAGGAGGGAGAAGCTGGCTGGAATTCTGGTGACGTTACCCCAGTGTCTGGAATTGAAAAGCAGTTTGTGGGAATCTCGCCCTGATCAGGCGAGTAGCCAGAAAAGGAGAAGCAAGATGGGGACCGTCCTCTCAAAAGAGGAGGCGGCGGTGGAAAAGCTTCTTCAAACTATCCTTTATAAAAAGGACTTTTATTATGAATGTGCCATCCTTAGAGGGTTGTTGGAATGGTCCAGGACAAAGGACCTTATCCCCGGTGTTTCTGCGGCCTTTGAAGTGTCTATTTGGGACTCTCTAGGACAGAAACTGTGGGAAGAGACCTCAAGAGGGTCTAAAGAAGTTAAAAAGTTTCCAGGCGTCTGGCGCTTGTTGGTAGACGCACTGGAAGAAGTGGGAGCGGAGCAGCGAGTGTCTCTGTCCGCGCACGCAGCTTTAGATGGTGAGAGCGGGGTGGAAGCGAAAGTTTCCGAGAGTAAAACTTCTGCGGATCAGCTGGTATTCGGCGCTACGACCGCGCCCGTGCCAATGGCGGCGAGAAAGCGGCTCGGCTTGGTTCCAGCTGCGGTGGGGGGGGCAAAAACCGCGGAGAGCAAAGGTGGTTTGGAGCCAGGGACTCCAACGGTCACTGCGCCTGCGCTGCCTGCAGCTCTCCCCCTCCTCACTGCCCCCGCGTTGTCAGTGGCAACAGCATCTGGCAGCGCGCCTGCGTCTGTAGTCGAGCCTGCGCAGTCAGTCATCGCAGCGGGACCTACTACGCCTGCGCTCTCAGCACCACCTGTGGTAATCATCGCGCATGCGTCAGGCACGGAGCCGGCCGTTACGTCATCGACAGTGGCAACTACGAGTGAAGCGCCTGTGGCTAGCTTCGCCCATGTGCTGACAGTCGCATCTTCACCGAAATGTCATCTCCCTCAAACCCAAAAGAACGTGAATCAACTCATTTTCGGAACACCGGGACAGCCCCCGGGACCGAGGGTGCGGAGCACAGAAGCGCAGAGAGCAGCGGGAGCGGCTCCGGCGCGCTGGGGTGTTATCTCCCCCGCGCCACAGTGGCCGTACACCGGCAGCAACAATGGCGTCAACAGTGCAAGCTGCGACCCTACTCCTGTTTGCTGAAAACAACAACAGCAGCAAAGACGCAAACTACACAGTGTTTTGACTCAAACACCTCAAACCCTGCAGCCCAGCCCCTCGAGGCGGCTGGAAGGGTGGTTGAACAGGAAAAAGCAGCTTTTGTGGTGCTCCAGTGGGGCATTAGTGGCCCTTAGCATCAGGAAAAGGGAAGAGTCATATAGTAAAAAGAAGTCAGTTTGTTAATTTAAGTGTAAAATCGTTTTACTCACTGGAATGTGGAAAACAAAGTACCTTTGAAAAATGAGTTTTTTCTAAATTATTTAAATTGATATTTTAAGCCTTGCAGTTTATAGGTTACTAATCCTGTTGTTTTGGTTTTTTTTCTTTCTTCAGTGAGATTTCAGATTATTAGTGGGTAATACAAAGGGTATATTGTTTAAAAGGTTTAAAAGAATTTTTTCACAGGTTATATCACAACAAACTGATTTGCCCTGTAAACAGGTTGGTCTAGAACAGTACAAAAGGTGTTCCTATAATAGCTTTAATTTGTTTATCAAAACCCAAATAGTCTCTATTATACGGAGTGTTTACTAATATGTATTAAATGTGTAGAAATTCTTATGGCAATCATTTGACTGCTGACCATCAGAAACAGAAAGATGGTGAGAACTTTTAAATAGAAAATGCAGATGGCTCATGCTCAAGGTTTTCAGGCTTTACATGAAGGTCAACGTTGCCTTTTGCAGGGATGCCTGCTATTTTGTGAGCCTGCTGACCCTTCGAAGATGAAGCCTCTGCTATGGGGAATTGCATATAAATCGTATTATAATCAAACCCAAAAGTTTCACTGTGTGAAAGCATGTATGATTGAGGTGTGAATGCGGTGGCCACCTTATGAATGTTTGAAAGACAATTGTGTGCAAGAGAAAAGTATTGTGTGGGTTTATATGTCCATATATATATATATTTATAGACCTGGTAATGCATTACATAGGTATTAAAAGAGTTTTTAACCTAAGAGTATTTCTACATTGTAAGGACCTTTAGGTAAAGGGTTAAGTGCTCTCTTGTTAGGATGTTCATCTTTGTCTCGTCAGGGAATTTTTGTGGTGCCAGGAGTGATAGATGCTTGCTGCAGGCAGACAAGCGAGCGGGAAAGAACCACACACACATCCACAAGATGCAAGTTCAAATCCAGTTTTATTATTGTTAGGCTGTACAATTTATATTATTCTGAGTTCTGTCCACGCGAACACGAGCACAGCACGCCATCACAATTGGTCAGCACGCGCTGTCCACGCGCCCCAGGTAACCCACCGATTTGTGGTTTTGAAGCCCACATTTGCATACCGTTTCCGTTATCACTGTTTTTCCCATCCTGCTTCTGCTGACTCCTGCATTCTTGTAGCAGCAGGCCGTTTCTTGTTTATCTTACCGTTACCTCCTGACCTTTTCAGAACTCAGAATAATCATGCAGAATTGCTAAGGCCCCAACAGATGCTGATGCTACAGGAGTCATCAAAATCATGGTATATACTTTAACACCACCAGTTTTCATTCCTGCTAACAGCAAAATAGCACAGTCGGTACCTTTTAATGCAATGGTGCCCAAGGCAGAATCACGGGCTCGAGGGGATAAAGGTTTTGGTTCCACAGGTTCTCCTGAGGTGATGTTGGCCATAGACATTGTTGCCTAAATGGCTGTGGGGAAAAAAAGACTCCAAGCCAAATTAGGTAGGAGATAAGATAAGGATACAAAAGTTTTAATGAGCCCCCAGGCTTTCTGGAATGCCCCAGCACGCGCTCTCCCGAAATACAGATGTCCACAGTTTTTATAATGATTTTCACCCAATCCCCGTCCTGTTACCACCCAGGTTCTGCCCCTGCCACGCCTCTTGGGAATTGGGTCTGGGGGCGTTTTGGGACCCCCTCTTCTTCATCTTCATCTTCCTCAGAGCACATAATGTCCTTGGAGGCCTTCCAGAATTCTAGGCCTGAAGGTTGTTGGGTCTATGGCTATATCTTGTTCCGTAGGGTTAGGGTGTTCTTCTACCATACTACCTTGAAAAAGAGATTAAACAGGCTATGGAATTTAGGGAATTGATATGGGAATGGGTAACAGGGGTTTGAGCTGGTGTGTTAAGGGTAAAGGGATAATATGCTGCTACTCTAAAATCTACATTTACTACATAACTACTTCTAAGGTCTACAAAAATAAAAAAATTAAAACATCAAAACTCCAAGGTATCAACATAAAGCAGGGAAAACCTGAGGAGAGTGTAGTTGTGCAGCATCCTAATGGTCAGTCCAGCATTATGACTATGCTCGTTGATACTGGAGCGGACGTTACCATCATCCCCAGACACAAATGGCCTAACACCTGGCCTGTGGTAATGGCACCTGCAGGAGTGAAAAGGGTAGGTGGTGTACAGCAGACATGGATCAGTAGAGATGTGGTAAGCTTTCGTTTTTCTGACGGTGCATCAGTGAGTACAAGGCCCTATGTGTTATCTTTGCCAGTGGGTTTGATAGGTCGAGACCTGCTAGGTCAGATGGGAGCATGCCTGGTTACTTCTCCTTTTTAGGAGCGGCCATTGAAAAGCAGCCGACCTTGAAGCTGGAGAACAGAAACACCCATATGGGTTGATCAATGGCCGCCGAAAGAACACAGGCTGCAAATAGTACAACAACTGGTTGAGGAGCAATTGGATGCAGGTCACATTGTTCCATCTACAAACCCATGGAATACTCCTATATTTGTCATTCCAATAAACTCAAGAAAATGGAGACTACTGCATGATCTACGGGCTATTAATGCAGTCATAGAGGATATGGGAACCTTACAGCAAGGTTTACCCTCTCCTACAATGATTCCGCATGA